GTCTCGAGGCGAGGGAACGAGGGCATCGCGTCAACACACTTGGGGATCGGCCGTTCACGAAAGTAATCATGCCTGGAGAAAACCAACTAAGTACCTGCTCCTGCTCCTGCTCCTGCTCCTGCTCCTGCTCCTGCTCCTGCTCCTGCTCCTGCTCCTGCTCCTGCTCCTGCTCCTCCAAGCCGAACCCTTCTTCTTCTCTCCTTCCTGCCCCCCCTCTCTGCCTCTCCCCGCATCCTCCTCCTCACTTGATCGCTTCCCGCGCGCTGGGCCGTTTGTCCGGGTCGTAGGTGAGCAGGCTGTTGAGGAGCTCCCGGCCCTGCAAGGCCCCAGCTCAGAGGGCGGAAGGGAGAGGGGGGGATGCGGGACCGCAGAGGAGAGGGAGGGGAAGCGCTGGGAAATGTTGTTGTAGGGCTGATGAGGGATGGAGAAGAGCGCGAGGTGCGGGAGACTGTCAGGACGTGAGTTCTCCTCCTCCTGACCTCCATGACACAACAGCACCTGCTGTATCCTGGCCAGATGGTCTCGTTCGGAGATCCAAGAAGCTGCAACAGGTTTGAGGAAGAGAGGAGAGGAGAATGTGAGAAGCAGGAAGGGGAGGAGAGGGGGGTGGAGCAGGAAGGGGAGGAGGAGGGGGGAGGGAGCAGGGAGGGGAGGGGAGGGGATGGACCTCGTAAGTGAGCAAGAGCTGCTCCCTCTCGTTCCTGCCTGGAAGGATGGGCGCATGCAGTAGCAGCTCGCCCATGATCCCCCCGCATGCCCACAGATCGATGGCGGACGAGTAGGTCTTGGCCCCGAGCAGCAGCTCCGGCGCGCGGTACCAGAGGGTCACGACCTTCGGGGTGTAGGGGACGAGGGGGGTGCCGAACTCGCGAGCGAGGCCCAAGTCGCAGAGCTTGAGGGAGCCATGGGAGTAGAGGAGGTTCGACATCTTGATGTCCCGGTGAAGCACCCATTGCTCGTGCATGAACGCTACCGCATCCAGTAGCTGCAGCAGCAGCCGCTTCACCTCGCCCTCGGAGAAGGGAGGGGAGGGAGACGAGTCGAGGAGGCTCGCCAGGTCATGGTCGCAGTACTCGAAGACAAGGAAGACGCGATCGGGTCTCGGGCCCACTGCTACGTCGATTAGGGAGACGATATGGGGATGGCGGAGGCGGCGGAGGAGCGCGATTTCTCGGAGAGCTGTCAGGGGGAATCCTTCCTTCTCCTTCTCCATCCTCACCCTCTTCAGCGCTCGCGCATGTCCAGTCGTCTCCTCCTGAGCACTGAAGACTTCGCCATACGAGCCTTCTCCTCGCTTCCCTCCTCTCGCATACCCTCCCACGCTCACACTCCCTCGCACCTCCATGGCTCCACCACCCCGACTTCCTCCACCCCCTTTGCGAGGTTATCACCCGTACATTTTGACTACCTACCCCTACCTATCCCCTTGCTCCTCATGTAGTACCCTCGCATATCACAAACGGATCAGAATACACCCCTCCAAATGCCTGTGTAAAAACATCAAATTAGGGGTACAATTTCAAGTATGACCCCACGATATATTGACACACCACCCCTTGTAGTGACCCCACCCTGACAACAGAATTTCTTTTCTACCCACCCACTCTTCAAATATGCTGTGGTGTACCCCTCCTTTTGCTTTATCTTTGATAGGTGGGGGTAACTTTTATTTTACTTTTATCGAGTAAAATTGGACCCACCATGCATAATTATCATAATTAGGAGGGGTATACATTTAACCCTACCCCCTCTATGTGAGATTATTGTGTAATTTATGGGGTAGGGGGTGATCATTTGGTTGTGGCCTCATACCGCCCGTTGTCTCTTGGGCGAAGGCGACGAGCGTCATGTGGGGGGGGAGAGAGGGAGGGAGGGAGGGGAGGGGAGGGACAGAGACAGAGACAGAGACAGAGACAGAGAGACAGAGAGACAGAGAGACAGAGAGACAGAGAGACAGAGATAAGGGTAGAGGAGGAGGGAGGAGAGAGATATGAGAATGATAGAAAAGAAGGAGCGAAGAAAAGAGAATGAGGCGATATCAGACTCGGCAAGTATGATCGGCAGGGAGAGTTCGAGACACCAGAGGAAGGCAGGAATAGACGATAGTAGTCGACTTAGCAGATACAGGAGGGTGATGATTAGCCTATGCACAACCCCTGGTCTCATCTTCTTTCTCCTCCTCGCTGCATCTCTCACACACCATCTTTCATGGTCTCATTCTCGTTCAACTATGGCTCTTTCTCGTACGGCCAATCATTGCTGAACGTCTGATGGAGCTGGTTTCCAGGTTGACAGCTGCTGGGCATGTTGTAAAGTCCCTGCTCTAGAGACAGACCAGCAAGATGACTCAACTGGCGATGCTCGTGCTGGCGATGGCCATGGTCGGAGGGGCTGAAGCGACCTGCTGTGGAGATGCGACGAGGGAGGGGACTTACGTTCAGCTCAACGGAAGCTCTCTGCTGACGACAGGAGCCGGAGCAGACGCGCTGTACAGCTCTTCCTTCACCGTCCAGCTCTTCTTGAAGCTCAGCGAGTCTGCGGTACCTCAGCCCGTGATCGGGTGCATGAACGCGACGGAGACGAGGGGATGGCGTGTGAGCTGCTCGTCCTCTCAGTGCTGCTTCAGCGCCTACGTGGAGGGCTCCTCCTCCCCTGCCCTCCGCTCTTTCTGCGCGAATGATCTCTCCCTCACCAACTGGACGCACCTGACGGTTCGGTTCACCGCCAGCGCCTCCTTCATCCCCGGAGTCACCAGCAGCAGACGCCCAGCTGCCGCGTCTCTCTTCGTGGATGGGGTCAAAAGGGCGGAGGCATCGTGGGGGGACCCGGGAGTGATCTGGAGAAAGGAGAGCTACGTCGGTTACCCTGCCCTCACGGTCGGAGGGTCGCGGGACTGGGACGCGGAATCAAGGAGCTTCATGGTGGGAGACGTGGACGAGCTGCGAGTGTGGAACGAGTCGATACCCGACCAGCAGATCCTCGACTCCGCCTTCGAAGTCGCTGCCTGCCCCTCCTCCTCCTCCTCCTTCAACCGCGTCGCGTCGATCACAAGCCTTTCCAACCTCATCCTCTACCTTCGGAACCCGCAGCAACCCTCGCAGTCCAACTACAATCAGCTGCAAGGCTCCTCCCTCTCCCTTTCCTTGTCCCCGGCTGGGTCGAGCATCCAGGTCGGCAGCGGTGGGCTGTACATGCACAAGTCACCCGTGATCGAGCTCAGCCCCAGCAGCCGGGGGGTTCTGTTCAGCGCCTTCACCCCTCAGTCTGACACCTCCATCTCCTTGGCAGCCCTCGCCTCACAGCAAGAGGTCTGGTGCCCTCCTCCTCATCATCATCATCACCATCATCATCATCCCCATCGCCTCCTCGTCCTCCCCCCTCGTCCTCTCTTGGCTGACTCGTTTCCCTTCAGATGGCCTATGTCGACCTTCTCGTGCGCGACCCCAACTACGACGACGTGCTCGCGCTCACATCCCCGCTCAAGTTCATCGCTCACAACACCAGCAGCATCTCCTACTTTTCATGTCTCGATCGCTTCCTTGGCTTCTCCCGTATGGAGGCCTACGACGCTGTCGATGGGCCCGACCAGGACGGCTGGGTCTCCTTCGCGGGTGTTAGCGGCTACGACGCTCTGTCAGCTGGAGGTGTGCTGAATGCCGTGACCAACTCGCCGCTTGACAGCGCCGGCGTCGCCTCCCAGTTCGTCCACCTGGGGCAGAACCTGGCGAGCTCGGGCTATCTTCCCCCTCATACCCAGACTCAGTCGCAGATAGTCCTGCGGGTAGTTATGGCTCACAACCTCTCGGCAGACTGGTGGGTCCCGCAGGCCGGCTACGAGCTCGTCTCCTCCCTTGCGAGCTTCTCCCGCTGCTCGGGTAGCAGGCAGGATGTCGAGCTGAAGCTCCAGCTGGGCGTGCACCTTTCGCCAGAGTTCGTCGACGCCTCCAACTACAACCAGCCGAGCCGAGGAGGAGAGAGCCTGTCCGCCTTCTCCTACCCCGCCATGCAGCAGGCGCAGCAGGCGGTGGCTCCCGGCGCGCACTATGTGGTGGGCTACGGGCAGAGTCTGGATCTGCGGGTGCGGGCGAGGGATCGAAACGCAGGAGACAAGGTCTGCGTGCTGGTGAGCGAAGACCCCGGAGTTCCACTAGGAGAGTGGAGCAGCACTTCCTCGGGGAGCAAGCTGACGTCGGGGTGCCATGCTAATCTGCTCTTCACCGAGCAAGTGCCGCTAGTGGCAGGAGCCTCCGCCTTCTGCTCCGGGGCCTGTCAGCTGTCCTCGTGCGACGCGGGTCTCAGTTCCTTCCTCCCTCCTCCGCAGTTCGATCGCACGTTCCACTACACCCCGTCCGTCGCTGCGGTCGGAGGAATCTACCGCGTGTGCTTCCAAGCTCAGTCAAAGCAGCCAGACGGAGACAACTTCCCGGTCAAGGACCCATCCTCTTCCTACTCCCGCTCGCTGCTCTGCGTGGTGATCGAGGTGGTTCCCCCGGCCCCCGTCCTCCTCACGCAGCCGCTCATCTACGAGGCGGTGGTTGGCTGCAAGCTGGAGCTGCTGCTGGTAGTGGAGGACAGGAGGCTCAACGCTTCAGCCACTGGAATGATGCAGACAGACATGAACGGGGCGGCTCCTCAGCCCTTGCAGTACGTCCTCTCCTTCTCTCCTGCCGGCAGCTCCAAGTGCTTCAACACCCACTGCGATCCTCTGCCTTCCCTCCCCCAGGGCGCCTGCCTCCCCTGCTCCTCTCCTGCTCCCCTCAACTCCGTCACCCTCGAGTGGACGCCTGCGCGGCAGGATGCGCTCTACAAGCCCTACACACTCTGTCTGGACGCGTCGCTGGTGGGAGGGACGTGGGGGAAGCAGCAGGTCGGGTGCGTGCAAGTGAGGGTGCGTAAGTGCCAGGAGTGCGTGCGAGGAGGAGATACGCTGGAGAGCATCGCGAGGAGCTTGAAGATCGGCTACCTCGACCTCTACATGTGGAACCCCTTCCTTGAACGCCCCGACCACCTGCTCCCCGGCATGGCCGTCTCCACGGGATCCGTCTACACAGTGCGGGAAGGTATACCCTCCTCCTTGCTCCTTTTCCCTCCTAATACCCTAATCATTTTCGCTCCCCCTCCTCCTCCTCATCATCATCATCATCATCATCATCATCCTCCTCCTCCTCCTCCTCCTCCTCCTTGCTCATACCCGCTCCCCCCCTCCTCGATTCTCATTTTTCTCGTTTCTCTTCATCATCATCACTTTCTCTCGCTCATTCATGGGCGCAGGGGATGATTTACAGGAGCTTAGCAA